ACCCAATAGAGAGCTATATTTGCGATGAAAACAGAGACAAAAAATTATTTTTTGTTTCTTTCATTACAAACACAACCAAATAAAAGGAATTATATTTTTATTTTACTTATTATATTGTATGAAATAAAAATCAATAGCTTTTTCGTTGTCTCATTTGTTTTGGTCTAATAATTGAAACGCGAAGAAAACATGCGTTTTTCTCTGGAATTACATATCATTACTAATCATTAGTTTCTATATTTTTCTTTTAACGTTACTTCAGTTTCTATTTGTTTTATTTTGTAGTAAAAGTGAGCAGTTTGTTGTAGTGTTTTATTTCATTTAGTTTTATACTTTCAAAACGGAATATCAATCATAATATGCTTTCAAAGCCTAAATAATTCACAATCCCTGAATATAATATTTGTAAAACATTTTTAGTTTTATATGAATTTTTATTTTACTTTTTGCGATGTCATGAGAGAAAGAGAGAGAGAGAGACTAATGAAGAAGTGAATGTCAAAACGACAAACGGCTGTCTCATACAAGTTGGTAAGTACAGTACTACAGGATCTTTTGTAATGTAATGAGAAGTGTATAGATAATTGCAATTTGAAGGCAACCTTATATTAATTGATTTTAAATGTATTCCTGGTGTGAGTTTGCAAATGCGTGCGCATTCATAGGTATACACGTATTACCAGAATATTCAGCACAGAATCCGTATTAAAAACAATTTTTTGAGAGTCACATCAATAAACAATAATATGCAACAGATTGTTGTTATTATGAGTCGTAAATTTATTTTTAATACAGTTATCTTATAAGAAGTTTAATTTAGTATTAAATTATTTTAAAATATGTTTCCAACTTAACAATGTCTATTAAATTAGTGAATTTTAAGGTAAGAATATCACAATGAGTATAATATATATATATTATGATTATATTGTGAATGTTTATATAAATTACTGTAATACTGTATTACTAATAGATGGTCTCTTAATATAATTTAAATCTCTTAAATATGTTTTGGATGAATGGCACACAAAATATCATTTGATTAGATTATTTGCAAAATCACAGAATTACTTGATGTAAAAATAGCAGCCCTTGAGTGACATACCCGGCCTTGTCTCACATTTTCAGCACATTTCTAATTCGCAATCCCATTCCTATTATAAGTCTTTCATACGGCATCTCTCTCTCTCTCTCTCTCTCATGACATCGCAAAAAGTAAAATAAAAATTCATATAAAACTAAAAATGTTTCACAAATATTATATTTAGGGATTGTGAATTATTTAGGCTTTGAAAGCATATTATGATTGATATTCCGTTTTGAAAGTATAAAACTAAATGAAATAAAACACTATAACAAACTTCTCACTTTTACTACAAAATAAAACAAATAGAAACTGAAGTAATGTTAAAAGAAAAATATAGAAACTAATGATTAGTAATGATATGTAATTCAAGAGAAAAACGCATGTTTTCTTCGCGTTTCAATTATTAGACCAAAACAAATGAGACAACGAAAACACTATTGATTTTTATTTCATACAATATGATAAGTAAAATAAAAATATAATTCCTTTTATTTGGTTGTGTTTGTAATGAAAGAAACAAAAAAATAATTTTTTGTCTCTGTTTTCATCGCAAATATAGCTCTCTATTGGGTTGTGATTTGTGAACAAAGCTCTCTCTCTCTCTCTCTCTCTCTCTCTCTCTCTCATCCAAACCCCCGATCTGTTGTTACTAAGGAAGAGGACGTCTATGTATTAGGCAAGAGAACAGCATTTATTAAATATACACTCTTTATAGCCGGCTATTTATACATGTCTTGCATTTCACATAAATTCAATACAATCTATACTCGATATCAATTATTATCACAAAATGTAATATAACTACAATGAGTAACTTTACTTGATTAAAATATTCGTGAATAAGTGTATTAATGCATGAATACAATTACTATTTGTATAGAATTTATGTTTAACATTAATATTATGTTAATAATTATGAATGGTTTGAATAATAGTAAAGGATTTTACTTCCGAATCTGATTTACGCAACTCAGAGATATATATTCAACAAAATTATTGTTATTATTATTGCCATTCGTTATGTTATATGAAAACCACTGACACTCTGATAGGGATTATAATATGTGTGACAAAAATTTTGCCCACAAATCCTATTATGAATTTGCTGTCACTTATTCTCTCTCTCTCTCTCTCTCTCTCTTTCTCGTCATTATGACTATTTTCCTGATCCTTTTTATTGGAAAATAGCAAAAACATGACAACATTTTGCCGACAAATCTCTTTCACACTAATTAAATAGCAGAGAATGTGAAACGAAATAAAAGTTTTCATTTTGTTGTCTAAATAACTGCAACCAAACAACTAATTGCTTATTATATACAGTATAACACCAGAATCCTCACAAAACTATTGCATTTCACTTCTATGACAATACCTGTACTAATATATCAGAAAATGAATGCAATATTTAATTATAACTGATAGATGTTGTAAAATGATAAAGAATGTTCAATAATTAAGAAGATATTATAATCAATTAAATTTAAAATAAAATATTCATTTAAAGTATTTAAGTGTCCGTTTTAATAAAGAAACGATAATGTTTAACTGAAAATGATATATAAATGTAATGTATTTAAAGGCTTGAAAATAATATAATTATATCTCTCAATAATATCTAAACAGAGGTTTTAATAAAAAGTGTCTCTTTATGTAATTTTATCAAAATATGTACCATTTTTAATTGTAGCCAGAATTTGAAAAAACTTCACATTTTTCTAATCAGCGTGTGTATTTGTATATGTGTAATATTTATTAGATTATCTTAATAGCAACATAAATTATAATTACCGACAATATGCCTTATTCTAAAAAATAGTTTTGTTTAAAAATTACTTTTTTAGAGTTAAAAGTTACGTCAATCAATACAAGTATAGATTAATTAAGTACAGTAGAGTATACTGAATATAAGTGCAAAAAAATTTCAGCAATTATATTATCAATTGTGTTGATAAAACATGTCCTTACAAACAATGAACTGAACTAAATCTAAATATAGAATACGATTAAAAGTACCGTATATAAAAAATTTATCCATCAATTACTACTGTATTCATCAAAAGTTAAATTTCCTTATTTATTTATTTTAAAAGTAACAGAAATTTCTATTTTATACACTAAATATACTGTACTGTAGATGTATTATCACATAAAATCAATATTCAAATGACTAATTGATTAGAGATTTAAATCTCAAGAATAAATAGCAGAATATACCTGAACAAATACATAAAACACATAATATATTTACAGTATATACTTATACCGGTATAACATTGATAGCAAACAAAATTATTATATCCAGTATATCCTAAAATAACTGATCGATTACTTCAGTCACGAAAGTATTTATGAAAAACACAATTATCCTAAACATTTTGTGCTCAACCACTAGAATATAAATGCTTTTGTCATTGAAAAGCATACAATATGATAGGGGAACAAGCACTTTTTACTTGTACTTTGTAAATTTAATTTCCACTATAACATTGCATGATTTACTATCAGCAAATTTTTAGTTCAAAAAACTTGTGCAAAATATGTGTAAATAATATACTGTATTAATAAAACACGAATTTAATGAATCAAATGACTGCCAGTTTGTATATCTGATAAATGGACTGGATATCATATTTTCATTAAGAGTTAAATGTTATACATTCACGTGAATTGTTTATGGCAAAAAAATTATTTATATAATAGTAATCTTAAAACTATATGTTTAATTTGTGTTTTGGCTACGAAAAAAATTATTATTTTATAAAAGTCATTTAATACAAAGTTAATAATACAGTAAATTAAAAAAAATATTAATTTAAATCAAAATGATTAAATGAGAATAGTTGAAATTATTTAATATTATAATTGATTATGTGATTTATAGGTTTAATGATTGATATAAAATTGTTAAATATAATACTCAATATTTTTGACCCCAAAAATCAATACTATACTCGTGATAAAGTTTTATAAAATATTTGTCTATGTGCTAATAAAACAATTATTTGTTTTGTGAAATACTGGTACAAAACATGAAATATTAATGGAAACACCTTTATAAATTATACGATAAATATGTTTAATCATTTACGTAATAATAATAGTGAAACAACGCGTTTAGTGAATAGGGATGACATTCAAGGTTAGAAATAACTTAATTTTGGATACATTTTACTTTTATTTGTATTGTAATTATAATATTAATATAATTTTCAAGATAAAACATCGAGATAAAACATTAGTTTCGTTAAATCAAAGGTTTATAATTTATTTATTGCTTATTGTGTCTTATCATTAATAAAAGTTTATTTATTTCAAAATCAAGTAATTACTGCATAAGACAGGTATTTTATTTGCGAAATCAATTGAAAGTGTTTTTAAATTATATTTAATATATTAAAATAATTTTCAAATAAAGACTTAGTTTTTGTAAAGCCTTAATACCTGTAGATATTAATAATAAAATTTATTTAAAATAAATAACATAATATTCACATAACAATGTTTTAAAATATTTATATTAAAAATCAACAAGCTCTCTCTCTCTCTCTCTCTCTCTCTCTGACTAAATATGTAATCTTTTTAGAGCAAGTAATCAGTTGTTCTCTATTTCCATATAATGAACTAATTAATGAACTGTTATATGTTCAAAGTCTATATTATAGAGTCTATAATATCCAAATGAAATGATTATTGTCATAAATATATTTACAGTTTTTACCTATCATAATGCCTTTCAAAATAATATATTGCTCAAAACAAATGACATTTACTGGTATATTACATCTCATCGTCAGTATTGAAATGATGTATTCATTGAATGAAACAAATAATTTTGTAGTCAATTCAATATCTGCCGAGAATCTGTAATTATTAGCAAGCATACATCTCATTAATCCGCAATTACGAGCAAATGGGAGGGGTATGCGATAAGTACGTGCTCACGAGTGAGGCTAACGTAAGCGAGATTAAGACAAAGTATGTACTTATTGAGTGAATCCTGATGTAAAAACAAAACAACAAAATATCCATAAAATGTGATTGATAACGTTTGTGATGTTTTTAGTTGGAACTTTCCTAATGTTTGTGTTTATGTCATAATCTGTGAAATTAAAAAGAAATGAGAGTGACATATATATGAGTTCACTTTTTTATCACTATTTTTCACTTTTTAATGACACAAATATCAGTAATTATTGGTTTTGTATTGTTGTCATAAATATATTTCAAATGCTCACCAATTCCTTAATTATTTGTTTCTAAAACTTGACATTCAAAATGAGACAATAGTTATGTAAATGTTATATTATAGCAAATATGATTTAAACAATATATTTAAAAAAAGCTTAGCTTGATCAATTTGAAAATTGTTGATCATAAAATTGTAGATCATACAATATAACTTACTAAAATTAATATATAAGACCAGGGATTATTTATTGATAAATTTATCGTGTAACATCTGTAATTAAATTGTTAAACACCCGTATATGTCAGACAGTTAGTCTACACTAGTATTACTAGGCCATAATTACGGTATAGCTAATCCGGTAGTTACACAACAATTTCACTAGTAACTGGCTAGTAACTAAACTAAATACAGTATATTATAATTAGCAATATCACAATTATATGATGAAATGATACAATAACTACATAAGAGCTTATAATATAAAATATTAATTATGAGTTAATTGAAAGAAAATTAATGTAAATGTTGTTATGCAGTCAATAAAGCTATAATCGACAGGATCAAACAAAACCCAATTTGATTATAAATCAATAAATGTATTAATAAAGTACATTTGTAACGATTAATAAAATAAAAACTATTTCAAATACAAAATTTTAGTACAGTAATGGTTTTAAAAAATTAAAATCTAATCAAATCACACTTAATAGCAATTCAAAACAGTAAGTAAGCACATTAATTAAAAACAGGAGTCAATTGATTTTTGCACCCATACTACTCACACGCGTTATATCTCTCATAATATCATACCTGTGTTTTGTTTGTTAGTTAATTTATAATTAATTTGAGAGCTATATTATAATTACTTAAGTGAAACTTCTAATTAGTAGTAAGTATTATAATTATTGAATATATTTTAGTTATAAAGTTCAGAACATATGATTTGATGTCATTACTATTGGCAATAGTCTATTGCAATGAACTAAATAATGATTTGAAGGGTAAAGTCAAGTTAAGTAAATGGAAAAATGGAAATTGTGATAATCTTTTTATTATCATATTTGCAAGATATTTTTTATCGTAAGAATAACTCCGGAGTTATCATATAACTGAAAAAATTTACTATAAATTGCAATACAATTGTTTAGAACAAAGCAATAATGTTTAAATTTAGTGTTAAGTGCAATGAATTATATTAAATGATAGATTATTATAATATATAACTTATAATTAAGACTAAGTGTTTAGTTATATGATATAACTTATATCCTCAAGAAATCGTATACATTCAATGTATTAAAATAATTAACTTTAATAATTGATTGTATTGATTTTATTCAGTGAATAAAATTATAAACTAATAAATAATATAATTATTACTCTGCAATAAAAAATTAAATAAAACATCAAATGAAAAACAAATACAATATCTATAGTATCAGTCAAAGTAAGAATAATTAATATTTCAAATATCAATATAATATATGATAAATTTTTTTTCTAAATTTATAAAAATAAAAGTATAATAAGTTATATTGTATTACCTAACATATAATTGCAGAGTTATTAAACATAATAAATAAAACTAAAAATCAAATAATCATGCATTCAATGATTCATAAGTTTTTTTTGCTATTTTCTTAATTTTAATTTTTCTGAATTATTAATAAGTTTTATGAATAAATTGTCTCTTTTTGTATTTGACTCGCAATTGTGTTTAGTCTCTGACATCAGAAACATCACATCAGATGATCAGTCGTCAGATCGACAAAGTCTTCGGTCGGTATCATCACTACTCTGCCAGTTATCTGTGGTTAACAGACCGATACTCTTGGGCCCATACTTATGGTCGCTGCTTTCGCTACCAAATCACTTAATGCCGTGCTAATTGCCCAGGTTACACAGCGTGCGGTCGACCATCACCAGCACATCCACGCCCAGCAAACACATCGCCATCAGTAGGCATGTCATCGATTTCGACGAACTCAACCAAAAGTACGGCAAACGAGTGCACCCGCCGGAGAGCATCGGTAGGAAAGTGAGCCAATCGGTGAAGAAATGTAGCAAAAGTTGTTCGCCTTTTGGCTTTTTCTTGCGTCTCTTTCCGATCATTAATTGGATTAAAAGTTATTCAATAAAAGAGTATCTAATCAATGATGTGATCGCCGGCTTCACTATATTAATACTACACATACCGCAAGGCATGGCGTATGGTATGCTTTCGGGCCTGTCCGCTATCAACGGCCTGTATGTATCCTTTTTCCCGGTCCTCATCTACTCACTAATGGGAACCTCAAGACATCTATCAATTGGTAAATAAATACAATTTTCTCTTTCAATTTCATTCTCTCTTTCGTTTACAACTCTAATAGAGTTTATGCTTTTGTTTTGTGTTTACTATACTTTTTGTGAAACTTTTGTGCCGATAAATTATAGCCCATTCTTACTATTACTTGACTTCTTCTTTGAGGTATTCTTTAGTGAATTGACTCTAATTTAGAGAGAGAGAGAGAGAGAGAGAGAGAGAGAGAGAGAGAGATGGTGTGATACCTGAGAGGATAGATCAATGAGTTTGTCGATGAGGTTATGGGAACCTGGGCTCATACAAAGAGTTAGAGCACATCCACACGTGTTTGAACTCATTTCACGCAAGGGATCTTATAGTCGACTGTATTTTTCCTTTGCACTGATTTTATATATTTAATTAATCTTCTTCTCTGATTAGTTTGAAGTCAATGTGTTTTTTGCTATAATTTACTACATTTCTTATATCAGATAAGAGAAACCCATTAAACATGTTAACAAAAAGTTTCCCAAAAAAATGGTTAATACTATCCCAAAAAAGTAAACCCTTTTTCAAATTGAAAACTCATGTATTTTTAGGCACTTTTGCTATAAT